GGTTCGGATCCCACATACAGACCGGTTCCCGCTCACTGGCTGAGCGAGGCGCGGGGGCAACACCGAGGGTTGCGATCCCGTTGCCGGTCCCCGGTCCGGTACGGGGGCAACACTGAGGGTTGCGATCCGTTGCCGGACATGGAAAAAGACAAAAAAAAAAAAAAAGAATATAAATCAATTGATGATGTCCTTTAAAGCATAAGCTCGTACCAGCAGCCACCAAAAAAAAAAAAAACAGAAAAAAAATCACAAGCTTACCATCAGCCTTACTTGCTGCCATTCTCAATAAGTCACTGTTAAAGGCAGAGAGTGACCGAGAAGAGCACTAGAGCCTTCTAATGCCAGTAATAACCTTGAAGGATACAAGCTGGGAACAAGAAAGTGTCCCCACAAAAGCAAGACAAATTCCCTGACAAAACAGCCAGGTGTCCAGGAGAAAAAAGTTGAATACGTGACTAAACTAAATGTTTGATCTTTTAATTTTTGGTCAGTTCAGGTTGTCTTCTTGAAAAATCACAATTACACTGAAATACAAGGGTCATTCAGAAAGTTTATCAAAAGATTCATATTATCTTTTAATTCTATTTTTCCACAAACTTTTTGAAGTACCCTCATACATGGTAGAAGCAAGAGTGACTACCTCCACATACTACAAAGCACTTAGCAGATTTCTATTAAGTAAATTCATCTTTATATAATAAGCATGTGAAATTCTCCTAATTTCCAGTTCAATGATCCAACAAATACTTATCAAATAATTTCCAGACTATATGGCACTGAGCTAAGTGGTGTGAGAGAACACAAGAGAATAAATTGCTTCCAAAAAATTCCAGTTTCAGGAAGAAATGGTTAACAAAGATTTCACAAAGGAGGCATAATTTAAGTTGAAACTTTTAAGATGGATATGACATCTTATAAAAGAACCCCATTAATTCCTTGATTTTGCAAGCCAAAAATATGGGAATTATCCTTAAGTCTTTCCTGTCCACCCACATCAAACAGTGCTGCCCCTGATGTCTTAACAAACATGTTCACTTCTCTCATCCCCACAGATAGTACTTTAGTCTTGGCCACCATTATTCTAACAGAGGCTCCGACAGGATGAGTCTCCTAACTGGTCATCTGCATCACTCCAAACCATTTGCTAACTGCCCAAATGATCTATCTAAAATGCAAATGACATCATTTGATATTCTTCTTCCCTTAAAATCCTTCAGTATCTTTCACTCTCAGGAAAAAAACCCAAACTCCTTAACACGGTATATGAGCCTTTTCTGATTTGGCTTCTGCCCTTCAACAGCCTCATTCCTCCACCTCACTTCTCAGTCATTATTCTTTCTCATCTGTGGCCCCCCTACCTGCAATGTCTTTCCCATTTATGGCCTAGCTAATTCTTCTCTACTAGGGTACTTCAAAATGTTGGTGGAAAAACAGAATGAAAATATAATATGAATCTTTCCATGAACTTTTTTTTTTTTTTTTTTAAAGATGACCGGTAAGGGGATCTTAACCCTTGACTTGGTGTTGTCATCACCATGCTCAGCCAGTGAGCGAACCAGACATCCCTATATGGGATCCGAACCCGGGGCCTTGGTGTTATCAGCACCACACTCTACCGAGTGAGCCACGGGCCGGCCCTCCATGAACTTTTTTTTAAAAAAAGAAAAAAAAAAAAAAAAGATGACTGGTAAGGGGATCTTAACCCTGGACTTGGTGTTGTCAGCACCATGCTCAGCCAGTGAGCTAACTGGCCATCCGTATATGGGATCTGAACCTGTGGCCTTGGTGTTATCAGCACCGCACTCTCCCGAGTGAGCCACAGGCCGGCCCCAAAATGTCCTTTATAGTTTGTTCATTTGTTGTTTTTTTTTTTTCCTTTTTGTCTTTTTTACTGACCGATAACAGGATCGCAACCCTTGGTGTCGCACCCGTACCGGGGACCGGCAACGGGATCGCAACCCTCGGTGTGCCCACACCGCACTCAGCCAGTGAGCGGGAACCGGTCTCCACATGGGATCCGAACCCTCGGCGGGAGCGCCTCCGCACTCCCAAGCGGCGCACTCTCCAGTGTGCCACTGGGCCGGCCCTTCGTTTGTTGTTTAATCCAGGATCAAAGCAAGGCTCATGCATTGTACTTGGTGGTCATGTTACTCCCTGACCTTTTAGGACTCAATTCTGGAATCATATCCTCTGACTCCCGCTATCCAGTCTGGATTACACGCCTTTTTTAAACACTTTCATACGATCACTATTGTAGTTTCATTATACTATTTTGTAATTATTGGGTTTATTTAGCTATCTCCCTAATAAACAGTAAGCTCCTTAAGGACTTTTTATTCTCCAGGCCCATGATGTCTGGCTTATAGTAGCTATTCAATGAATGTTAGCTGAATGAAATGAAAGAAAGAGCTATGAACAGGAAATATGACTGTTATGAACTGAATTGTTTCCCGAAATTCATATGTTGAAGCCCTAATCCCCAATGTAACTATTTGAAGTAGAGCATTGAAAGAGGTAATTAAAGCTAAATGAAGTCACAGGAGTGAGGCCCTAATCCAATAGGAATAGTGTCCTACACAAAGAGGAGGAGGGGCTGACTGGTTAGCTCAGTGAGCTCAGTTGGTTAGAGTGCAGCCTTTCATCAGCAAGGTCACAGGTTCGTCCCCATACCACCCAGCTGCCAACTAAAGAGAGAGAGAGAGAGAGAGAGAGAGAGAGAGAGGAGTCACCAGGAGTGTGCGCGCATGGAGGAAAGGCCATGTGAGAACACAGAGAGGACAGCTGTCTACGAGCCAAAAAGAGAAGCCTCACCAGAAACCGAAACTGCCAATATCTTGATGTTGGACTTTCAGCCTCCAGAATCATGAGAAAATTAACTTCTGTGTTTAAGCTGCCTAGTCTTGGTATTCTGTCATGGCAGCCCAACATAATTAATATAATGACCAAAATCATTTTGTCCACAGTACCTATGGATGATGGAATGCTAAGCAAAACCTAGAACAAAATCACACACAGAAGACTTATTCCCCCCACTTCTGAAAAAATTAACCCCATATTTAACAGAAAGAATAACGGAAAACATCATTCTGACTCTCATGACATACATTAAAAAGTTGGATCTTCAAGAAAATAAGCAGCAAAACTGTTAGTATCAATCACCATCTTTAGCTATTCAATGAGATGGAAAAGAAGATAGAGATACATAAAGAGTCTAAAGAGTGCACATCAAAAGGAAATTTTTCACGGGACTAGAATAAAACTATAGACTCATCTCCCCAACTTCTGCTCCTTTTAAGATGTCTGCTAAGGGGCCGGCCCGTGGCTCACTCGGGAGAGTGCGGTGCTGATAACACCAAGGCCCCGGGTTCGGATCCCATATAGGGATGGCCGGTTTGCTCACTGGCTGAGCGTGGTGATGACAACACCAAGTCAAGGGTTAAGATCCCCTTACCGGTCATCTTTAAAAAAAAAAAAAAAAAAGATGTCTGCTAAGTTGCTATATGAACATGTCTATGTTCTCCTACAAAGACAGTGAAGACGATGACAGGGGCCATGTTGTTGTGGGGTAGTAGCAGACGTTTTTTTTTTTTTTTTTCTTTTTCCGTGTCCGGCAACGGATCGCAACCCTCAGTGTTGCCCCCGTACCGGACTGGGGACCGGCAACGGGATTGCAACCCTCGGTGTTGCTCCCGCGCCTCGCTCAGCCAGTGAGCGGGTACCAGTCTGTATGTGGGATCCGAACCCTCGGGCGGGAGCACCCTGCCGCGCTTCCCAAGCGGCGCACTTATCCAGTGCGCCACTGGGCCGGCCCGTAGCAGACGTTTTGATTGCTAACAATGCCTGGGATAGTGTTCTGCTCCAAGTACATTCTTCATAATTGCTGGAAAATGATCATCGTAGACAACTGGCTCATCTTCTAATCATTCAGTATCATCAGATTCTCAACAGAACAACTGATTGATCCATAGGCCCTCTCCTAAATATTCTTTCTCATGTTGCACTTCTACAGTTAATATCTTTTAGACATGGAAAATGATTCAGCAAATGAGCTTGCTACTTTCCACTAAGCATTCTGACACATTAGCAAAAGCCAAGATTTTCTTGATAGATGAAATGCATTTTAATAGAATTTAAGTAAAATCATCACAGTATTCACTGCTATTTTGATTTCCAAATAGTTCATTTTATGAAACTTGAAAATTGAGAATGTGACCAAATTCTATGCCCACCTAGCTCTAGCTGGAGTACCCAAAAGAGGACACAGATCCACTAAATAATTCTTTCACAAATAGCTTACAATATTATTGTTTGAAATTTGCTCTTGGTGCTGAATAACATAGTCATTCAAAGTGTTTTCATGGCCTGAACTTGTAAAAAAAAATCAGGTTATAAAGCAAGCAAAATAGGTGTTAGATGCATATCAAAATCTTGACCATACTTGGGACCCAACAATTAAATATTACTTCAAGGTATTTATGAATCTCTGAAACTCTTTTCTTTTCTTTCTTTTTTTTTTTTTTTTTAAAGATGACCGGTAAGGGGATCTTAACCCTTGACTTGGTGTTGTCAGCACCACGCTCAGCCAGTGAGCGAACCGGCCATCCCTATGTGGGATCCGAACCCGGGGCCTTGGTGTTATTAGCACCGCACTCTACCGAGTGAGCCACAGGCCAGCCCTGAAACTTTTTTCTATTAAGTCTAATGTAGGGTACTGAAAAAGCTAAAGTCAGTGGAGAATTTTTACTTGCATGCTTATTTTTCAAATAAAAATTAGGGGCTGGCCACTTAGCTCAGTTGGTTAGAGCGTGGTACTGATAATACTAAGGTCCAGGATTCAATCCCTATACTGGCCAGCCACCAAAAAAATAAAAATATAAATTAAAAAATTAAAATTAAAATTAGTCCAAAAGAAAATAAATTACAAACACAAATGGGCCTGGCCTCTTATGTACATATATACACATACATGCAGGGTTTTTATTCTTAACACCGTAATTTACCTTCTGCCCTTCTCACAAAGCTTCTCAATTTCAGCTTTCAGATCTTGTTCCTTCTGCAAAAACTCCTTCTTTTCTTTCTCTATCTTCTTCTTTGTTTCTTCCCGCTTTATTGTCACATCCTGAATAGCCTTTAATATCTCCTGAGTCCCACAAATTATAATCACACACAAATAAAAAAGAAAATAGGTTAGTTCTTTTATCTGAACGTCATTTTCAACTATCACAAATTCACTTATTGACTTTAGTGTATTCAAATTGAATCAAAAGAATCTGGTTGATGACTAGCTACAAAGGCCAGTATTCAAAACCTAAGTGAAAAAGTTACAGTAATGCAGAATTCAACTCAAAAGAAGAAAGAATTTCTAACAATCACAACTGTTCAAAAATGGAATAGACTGCCTTCTGAAACAACAAGCTATCTGTTACTGGTGTTCAAATAAAGGCTGAATGAACACCTGCCAAGAATGCTGAGAAAGGCGTTCTTGCACCAGGTGGGATTTTGTTACATCCAACAAATATGGTCCTGTTTTGCTTGGTTTTATTTTATTATGTACAGGGGCTTTTTGTTTGTTTGATTTTTTTACTATTTAACAACAACAAAAAATATACAAGAGTACTTCAAAAAGCTTGTGGAAAAACTGAATTAAAAGATAATACAAATCTTTCCATGAACTTTTTGAAAAGCCCCCGTGTGTGTGTGTGTGTGTATTTGTAATAAGAAGTCAAATAATACAAAAGTGATAAAAATTAAGTCACCCCTGCCTTCATACCACCTCCACCCATAAGGTAATCAATGTGTTAACTGCTTTGCATCACACTTTCACATCTTTCTCCATTCTCACACAATCACATGTGTACTTATGTATTTCTTTGCTTTCTTCTTTTAGTTTTTATTTTTGTCTTTTACGTGACCGGTAAGGGGATCGCAACGCTTGGTGTGGTGTCACCCACACCGCACTCAGCCAGTGAGCGCACCGGCCATTCCTATATAGGATCTGAACCTGCGACAGGAGTGTCGCTGCGCTCCCAGCGCCGCACTCTCCCGAGTGCGCCACGGGCTCGGCCCGCTTTCTTGTTTTTTTTAAATAATGTCATTTTATATACATTTTTCTGCATCCTGATTTTTTCACTTGTCATGAAAATACTGTTAATAAATACAGATCTAATTTAAAAATAGCTACATAATGTGATATCACATGTCTGAATTATCCAACCCTTCTGTTAAAAGTCCATCAGACTGATTCCAATTTTTTTGTAATTACATTTCTAATCTAATCTAATTAATTTTTAAACAATAGTGCAATTAATATTCTGTATGTCTACACTTTCATACTTCTTTCTGTAAAAGAACTCCTAATGATGAGATTGCTAGGTCAAAGTATATAAGACTACTTCAAAAAGTTCATAGAAAAACAGAGTGAAAAGATAATACAAATCTTTCCACAAACTTTTTGAAGACCCCTCATATATATATATTTAAAATTTTAACTGACAAGGCCGGCCCGGTGGCGCACTGCTACAGTGCGCCGCTTGGGAGTGCGGCGGCGCTCCCGCCGAGGGTTCGGATCCCACATACAGACCGGCAGCTCACTGGCTGAGCGAGGTGCGGGCGCAACACCGAGGGTTGTGATCCCGTTGCCGGTCCCGGTCTGGTACGGGCGCGACACTGAGGGTTGTGATCCGTTGCCGGTCACGAAAAAAGACAAAAAGGAAAAAAAAAAAAATTTTAACTGACAATTCCTAATAACCTTTCCAAAAAGGTCATGACAATTTACACTTCTACCAATAATCTCTAAAAGAGTTCATTTTTCCTTGCCCTTGACAACTTATCTCGTTTTGTCAATCTCCTGGGGGAGGGGGAGAAGGAGAAAAAGGAATGATATCTAACAACTGTAATGTGCATTTCATTAACTTCCATTCTTTATTGTTTTTACTGTCTCCCCCAACTAGAATAAGCCTTCAGTGAAAGCACAGACTGTGTTTTGTTCATCACTAAATCTCTAGAGCCTAGATCAGGCACTCAAAATAATACCTGCTGAATGAATGAATGAATACCAGTGAGGCTGAGCTTCTTCTCATATATTCATAATAGACTTGCTTTTTCTCTTCTGTGAATTACTGTTTATAACTGTGGTAGGCAAAATAATACACTCCCCGCCCCCACCAAGATGTCCACATTCTAATCCCTGGATTACCTTCCTTAGCAAAAGGAACTTAGCAGATGTGACTAAGGTAAGGACCTTGTAATGGGGAGATTATCATGCATTATCTGGATGGGCCCAATTTAATCACACTAAGTCCTTAAAAGTGTAGAACAATTTGCAGTTGTAATAAGGAAGATGTGACTAGATGTCTAGATCAGACAGATGCAATACTGCCAGCTTTGAAGATGAGGGATAGGGGCCACAAGTCAAGGAACACAGGCAGCCTCTAGAAGCTGGAAAGGCAGTGAAACATACTCTCCTCTAGAGCACCCAGAAAGGAATGCAGCCCTGATGACACCTTGATTTTCACCCAGTGACACCCATGTTAGAATTCCAATCTACAGAACTGTAAGATAATAAATCTGTGTTTTAAGCCACTAAATTCACAGTAATTTGTTATATAAGCAGCAATAGGAAAGTAACGCAATAACCTTTCCTAATTTTTCTCTAGATTGACTTTTACCATGAATTTATAAAAATCTCAGAATGTTATAGATATTAAACTCTTTGTCAGAAGTACTACAATTATTTTATCAGTCTAATATTAATTTTTCAACAGATTTTTGCATCGTTTGCCATACCAACCATTTAAAACTATATAATTGAATTGATTAATCTTTTTTGTTATGGCTTCTGGGTTTTTTGTCTTGCTTAAAGCAACCTCTTACAATTTGAGGTTTCATATTCTCCAAAATTTTCTTCTAATTTAACTTTTTTCCCTAAGTTTTATATGGAGATTTTTAATCTACTCAGAATTACATTTTTTAATGTAATATGAGACAGGAATATAATAAAATGTTTTCCAGGTAGACAGTCAATTATATCAACAAAATACATTAAATAAATAATACTTTTCTCTCTGAACTAAAATAGGAGTGAGAGTTTGGACAAGATGCCTCCAAAGGTTCTTTTCATCCTTAAAATTCTGCTATGATAACCATTAAGACGTAAATACCGTTTTTTTATTTCTATTAATGCAGGAACAAAATTAAAGTTTGATCAGAGACTGTTGTTTACCTCATTAACAATTTCAATATAAGCAGTGTACCTGGTGATTCTTCATTTCTTCTTCTCTCCTTTGCTGAAGTTGCTTTAATTGAACTTGCAGCTGATTCTCCACCTGCCTCTGCTTGTCCAGGACCTCCTGGTAACGCTCCTTCAACAGGGTTCTCTCTGTCATCATTTTATCCTATTGGGAACAACAAGAGAAAAGTTTATCTCCCCATTTAATCACTAGAAACTTTCACCAAATGCCTATTCAAGGCATTGTGCAAAGCTCTTTGGCTGCACTGTCCAATACTGTAGCCACTGGCCAATATTTGGCTATGTAAATTTAAATTAATTAAAATATAATAGAGAAATCCAGGCCCTCAGTTGCCTAGCCACACCTCAAGTACTCAAATGCCACAGGTGACTAGTAGTTACCATACTGAAAAGCACAAATATAGAACATTTCCATCACTGCAGAAAGTTCTACTGAACAACACTGCTCGAAGGCAAGGGGTAGCAACCTATGAGCTGTGGGCCAAATTCAGCCATTGCCCCATCACTGCAGAAAGTTCTACTGAACAACACTGCTCGAAGGCAAGGGGTAGCAACCTATGATCTGTGGGCCAAATTCAGCCATTGCCTGTTTTGTTTTGTTTTGTTTTGTTTTGTTTTGTTTAAAAAGATGACTGGTAAGGGGATCTTAACCCTTGACTTGGTGTTGTCAGCACCACACTCTCCGAAGTGAGCAAACCAGCCACCCTATATGGGATCCGAACCCATGGCCTTGGTGTTATAAGTACCACACTCTCCCGAGTGAGCCACGGGCCGGCCCAGCCATTGCCTGTTTTTGTAAATAAAAGTTTTACTGGAACACAGCCATACCCACTGGTTTATAGGTTGCTTTCATACTACAGCGGCAGAGTGGAGTGGTTACAGCAGAGCCCCTATAGCCCACAGAGCCTAAAATACTTACTACCTGACCCTTTACAGAAAATGTTTGCCAACCCCTGCTCCAGGAGATAAGATGAAGGAGGCATTTTACTATCCACTAGGAGAGAGAAGAAAGAATGTGCAAAAACAAAGAACAGATTACCTACTCAAAACGCATCCAGGCATAGGATTCCTTAGAGGTCATTAGTACTGAAAACTGAAAGATCCACTATGGAGGTCTGGGGAATCTGTTATTCAGACTGAGCAACTCAACAAGCTCTCATATAAAGTAGGGATTAGAAGTGAGGCTTCCAAGGACCACAGTTCAGCTCTGCCTCCCCATATTAGTAAATCTAGAAAAGCAATGGTTACCTCTCACAGGGAAACTAAAACTTAAAGAGGGTCAATTTAAAACACATTTGGGGGGCCGGCCCGGTGGCGCACTGGATAGTGCGCCGCTTGGGAAGCGCGGCGGCGCTCCCGCCCGAGGGTTCGGATCCCACATACAGACCGGTTCCCGCTCACTGGCTGAGCGAGGCGCGGGAGCAACACCGAGGGTTGCAATCCCGTTGCCGGTCCCGGTCCGGTACGGGGGCGACACTGAGGGTTGCGATCCGTTGCCGGACACGGAAAAAGACAAAAAACAAAACAAACAACAAAAAAAACACATTTGGTATAAGACAGCCCATATAAAATTTAAACTGAGAGCATTAAACTGACTTTGTTCATTAAAGTATAACTGTTTCCAAAGAAAAGAGGTTTTAAAAGTAAATGAGAGAAAACATACATGATTGTAAAAAATAGGCTCACAAATAAAAACCAAAAAAACAAAAACAAACAAACAAAAGGCTCTCAAAATGGGACTTTAGCTTTTGCATAAGCTAGTCCTTAGTCCACATACTGAAATGTGACTAAGGCTCCCAAACAGCTGATTCCTTAGCATCGCATCTTTGCAGAGATTCTGAACCTGGGTTCTTAAGGATGGCCCTTAGGGGATCTTTGAGCTCCCTGAAATTGATGTGTGTGTGTGAATTCTAAGATGAGAATACAAAGTTTTCTAAGGATTCTGAAAGAGAACCCTCGCCCATAAAAAGTTAAAGAAAGGTTAAGAACCAACAGATGAAACCAGTAGATTAGAGGACTCTTTTCTTTTTAAACACAACTCTTTGTCCCCTTCTATGTCCATGATACATCTTTAGAAGAACACAAGATAAGGAAAAAAACATTAGTATCATGGAAAGAAGTCTCAAGTACATACTATTAGTACATACAAACAGATAACTTAAAGGCATACAGTAAGTTTACTTGATCTAATTCATCTTATCTTAATGAGCCAAAGAGTTGTTATACCTGTTGCTTTGTTTCATCAGTGGCTAGTTGGTTCCTAGGACCAGGAGTAACAATTTCAAATGCAGGTAGTAGGCGCTCACAATAAATGCATACAAAGGATAGAAAATAAAACAGGAGCCAGGTTTCTTCGTACTGCCACCGATCTTAATACCTGCCTAGTTTCACTGTCTTTTCAAAAGAATGTGGGCCTCACCACCAATCAAAAGAATATAGCCAAACAAAATATAACCCTGGGGGCCGGCCCGGTGGCGCACTGGATAGTGCGCCGCTTGGGAAGCGCAGCGGCACTCCCGCCCGAGGGTTCGGATCCCACATACAGACCGGTTCCCGCTCACTGGCTGAGCGAGGCGCGGGGGCAACACCGAGGGTTGCGATCCGTTGCTGGACACGGAAAAAGACAAAAAGACAAAAAAATATATATATATATAACCCTGGGTCTTTTTTGGCCCAATGGCTTGCCAGGTCTCCACCCCTGATTCAGAATGATGCAAAGCTTATTTATGCCTTCTCCGCTGGCTCCTTCAGCTGCTATCTACTCATCTGAACCCCAGCTTACAACTGTAAGGAAAAAATAAATACTCTGTATAAAGTGCTTAGAGTAGTGCTCAAGAAAAGGTGATTCCTGCCACAACCCCCGGCCCCCTTTCCCTGAAATTCTCTTCTACCCTGATTTCCACCCAGCCCATTTCCATCAGGTCTTTCTTCTCTATCTGCCTGTTATAAATAACTCCTGAATCGCTACTCTCTGTTTAAAGACTCTTATTGGCTTTATCTGATTAATGTACTCCAATAACTTACTTCTTTCCATCCACCCCTCAATTTCTTCAATTTGAACCAAATATCCACTTTCTTATCTGGTTGCTAAAAGCACTTTTCCTCTTTATACTGCTCTCCATTCAATTAACACATCTTACCCTAAAGATCTCTTTCTAATGCTAGGGTACCTTTCCCAGGTTTAGCTTTCTTCTTAAAAAATATACATTTATGTAACTATGCAATTAAAGGGTAAAAGTTTTAGCCACAAAATGCCTGGGATAGATCAATGGGACCATTTTAACAAAGATAAATGTAAAGTTCTCTATCCAAGTTTTAAAAACCGACTATCCAGGGATGAAATGAGAAAGACACAAGTAAATGATACATGAAAAAAAGACTTGATGGAATTTGACCGAAAGCTCAAAGTGTGACAAGACTGCCAAAGTAAGTTAATGTAAGCTTAAGAAATAGTGTCTAAGATGAGAAAAACTAATAGACCTACTGTATTGTGAATTAATTATAGGATCACTTTTTTTTTAAGTCTTTTATTTTATTTATTTATTTATTGTTTTTGGTGTCTGGCTGGTATGGAGATCTGAACCCATGACCTTGGTGTTATAACACCATACTCTAAACAACTGAGCTAACCAGCCAGCTCAGGATCACTTTTTTTTTTAAACAAATATTGATAAAATGGGACATGTCAAGGTGAAAGTAAACAGGATGATGATAAAGGACTGAAAAAAAAATCATATGAAGAAAAGAAGAATGCTTAAAACATCTGGGGATGTTCTACCTGGCTTGATAAAATGGGACATGTCAAGGTGAAAGTAAACAGGATGATGATAAAGGACTGAAAAAAAATCATATGAAGAAAAGAAGAATGCTTAAAACATCTGGGGATGTTCTACCTGGCTAAGTTTAGACTTGAGGAATAAGTACAGAAGGCATTAAAAAAACTTCCAATATATGTAGGGCTAACAAGTAGCCCTAAAGAGAGGAACTAGATTTATTCCATAAAATGCAAGAAAGAGCTATACATGAATTTATAGAGGTTCTGTCCTTATCTCAGAATAAGACCTAACAATAAAAACTATTTTTTAAAAATGCAATAGGCTGCTTGCTTTGTGAGGTAGTAAGCTCCCCTTCTCTGGAAGTAATCAAGTAGAAGTTAGCTGACTGTCAAGGATTTTGTAAGAAGATTCCTGCACCTTTCCCAACTGAGATGATATGCCTCTAGGTCTTCTGCTTTAATGGTTTCATATAACAACAACAACAGTTTAAGTACTTACCAGATTCTTTTCAATATCTTGATCTGTGTTTACTTCTGAATCAGCAGTCTTAAAGTCAGTCTATAAAGGAAGAAACAATTATATTCAAAACTGCTCAGAGACACTTTAAAAGAGGCAGAATCACTCTAGTACTTTCACCTAGAAATCTGCCACAAGTAGCTAAGAAGCAAACTTTTTGATCTTTCCCCTTATCAGCTACATAGCAAGAGGAGCAATGTAGTTCTGGTAAATGGACATCAACATCCACACAACGCATCGATCGTGTATCCCACAAAATAACTTGAAAAAAACCCAACAACTGACTGAGAGAAAGCGTCAAGTCTGAGATGAGAATTTCGTCCCCTACAATCTATTATGCCCATACTTCCTCCTACAACAAAGCACACCAGTCACTAGAAGGCAGGATACACTGTACTTCTTAAGATGTAGGTCAGAGAATTAACAAGGATTCCTCCTGCAAGGACAAAGATGGGAAATATAAATGCTGATGACCTGCACTCATCAATTACTCAGCAAAGAGATTACATGTAGGCCATAAAGTTCCTACTTGCCATACGATTAGACACTGGCTACCGGCTTAGTTTTTGAATACCAGAATGAAGTCATTGCATGGTACTGTATGAAAATAATACGATGACTGACAGCAAATAAAAAGAGACAGAGTAGTTCTCCATCAAATATGAAGAAATGTCTCCTACCCTCAAAACACCCCCCAAATTTCATTTTAGTAGTAGAAACTTGATACTTGACCTGTACAGCAATGTTCTGAGAAAGCTTCAGAGAAGAGCTATCCTGATCATCATCCTGATCCACTCTGACTCCTTCAACCCCATTTGTTGGAGGCACTACAAGTCGTAAATCCAAGCCTGTGTCCCTGCTACCTTCCTTTAGGATGGAGGCTTGTGGGGATTTCTCTTCAGAGCAATTCCCGGAGGCAAGCTGCTTTGTATGGCACCCTGCCTTAAGAGACCGAGTGACTGGATGGAGGCTCTCCTGGAGGCTTGTGTCCCCCTCCTCTCCTGCTGTGCTGGCCAAGTCCTTCAAATCAGACTGTGACCCACTGCCAGAAAGACAAAGGGCTGTTGCTATCAAGTTTTCTCCTAAAACCGCCTGGTGCGCTGCTGAAGTGTCACCTGCTGATGAACCAGGATTCTGCTCTGGGTGTTCCAAATGGACATTTCTGTTATTCTCCTTGGTTATCGTTTGGCTACTTACACTCGACAGAGGCAAGTTCTTCTGCTTCTGTGCAGGGTCTTTGGGGCTATCAAAAACATAAGATAAAAAGTTTCTCTCTCACCCGGTCTTAAAGAGGATCAAGCATATAATACTTTCAACATAACCACTAGAAGAACAAAACTAGGCTATATAAGCCACCCCAATTATCAGAATGAAGAACTTAGTTTCTATCCTATGATTTCTACCCCATATGCAGGTAGTATAGCTTGATGGTTAAGAACCTGGGTTCTGGAGAAAGTCTACAATAAATACCCAAACATAAATGACTGAATATTGAAAAAAATTTCGAGGACCAATTTGATTAAGTTTTGGGAATATAAATGATATCTATAATAGCCTAATGTTAGTTAAAATATTTAATTTAGGCTGGCCCGTGGCTCACTTGGGAGAGTGTGGTGCTGATAACACCAAGGCCACAGGTTTGGATCACTATATAGGGATGGCCGGTTAGCTCACTTGGGAGAGCGTGGTGTTGACAACACCAAGCCAAGGGGTAAGATCCCCTTACTGGTCATCTTTAAAAAAAAAAAAATTTTTTTAACTTGGTTACATGTACTAATTTAGTTACACATAGTACCTAATAAATAAAATATAACTTGGAAATGTTGTTTTTATTCCCCTCTCCTGTTTCACAAAAATAATTTTCATTCAAACTCATTATACAGATCTTTGACCCAAACCGCTTTTTAGATTCTTCAACAGTTTTCCAAAATATAGCATCTTCACTGCGAGTTGTCTAAAGTACAGACAATTTTGAATCCAAAACTGAAGCTGTCAATAGAAATTTTATACCACACAGCAAGTATACATATGCATAACACTGGGATAGTTATTTTGTCATTTGTCATAGTCACAGCCATTTAATATTTTGGTTTTTAAAGAGATCTTTAAAACAAATTTACAATTTCATCCAACATTCACAACTATAAGTTTTTCACCAAGAATTAAATCTATGTTAAATTACTTTGCCCCCTCCCATTTCTTTAACTGATTCAGTCAACTGACGCCCTTAAAGCATCTCAAACTAGCACTGACTGAGGCTTCAAGTCAATGTGTCTTTCTTTCCTCAATACCACTTGCTCAAAATAAAACAATTGAGTGAGTATCTCATGATATGAGAATCTTTATAAATACTCTAAGCTGATCCTTCCTTCTGGGAGTTAACTGTGGAGCGTGGGGGTAGGGGTGGAGGGGCTGAGAGAGCACTTAATTATAAATTTTGGCATATCCAGTACTTGGGTTTAAATCCTGATTCTACTATTTACTAGCTGTTTGACTTTAAGTAAGTTACTTCATACATAAAACAGAAATAATATTACCTACTGTAGTAGATTGAATTATGTCCCCCCAAAACTCCCTGAAGCTTGAATTGTGTCCCCCAAGTTTTATGTATTAGAAACTTAGCCCCCATTGTGCCTGTTTAGAGGGTGGGAAATCCTATTATGGTAATTGAAAGATGGAGGCTTGAAGAGGTAATTGGGTTTTAGGACGCTGTAGTAGTGAATGGATTAAAAATGGTGGTCAGGGTGTGGTTCTTAGGACTTTAAAGGAAGAGAGAAGAATCTCTCTCTCTCTGCCCTCTCTGCTTCCACCATCTTGCAACATGAGACCCCTGAGTCACCTTTGCCACCACCTGATGGACTTTGTACTTCCCAGCCTCAGAAACTGTAAGCAGTAAGTGTTTTTTCTTTATAAATGACCCAGTTCCAGGTATTTTGTTACAAGCGACAAAAACGGACTAATACACCTACCTAATAGGATTGTTATAAGGATTACATGAGATAATGCATACTAAATAGTACAGTGCCTGTCTCAAGTAAACACTCAATAAACCTTAGCCGCTATTATTATTACCAGTAGTATATGGTCAATTTTATTTACAAAATGAAGACATAAAGATCCAAATTTATGGTCAGATTTACTTAACATTCTCCCCCATTACCCCTTCACTAACAAACATCTCTTCTTTTAAACAAATATTTATTAAGTGCTCTGGAGTTAAACAAGCCTGGGTTCAAACCCTGACTCCAGCATAGACTGGAAAGCTTGGGTAAGTTACTAACCTCTCTGTGTCTCAATTTCCTCACCTGTAAATGGGAACAATAATATTAGCACCTACCTCCTGGGATTGCTGTGAGGATTAAATGTGTTAATACACATAAAGCTGTTAGTATAGTATTATCTATTGAATTAGGTCCCAGGTACTACAGAAAAGAGTTGAGGTAGAATACACAGTCAATTTAGTTCAACATTGTAGATAACAATGTACTTACTAACCAGTGTAAGACTCAAGGTTGGATAATCACAATTCCTGCCCTCAAGAGTTTAGATAGGAGGTAAAATGTATACACAAAGCAGTAAGCCATATGAACAAAGATATCTAGATAGATACACACATATATCTGTGTTTATATATGTATAGAAACACATATATTGATGTATATCTATCTATATAGTATAAAATGTCCTATATATACAAGTATGATATATAAACATATAGTTAAATTAAGATAAAATCCATGTAGGGGGGCCGGCCCAGTGGCGCACTGCTACAGTGCGCAGCTTGGGAGCACGGCGGCGCTCCCGCCGAGGGTTCGGATCCCACATACAGACCGGCCGCTCACTGGCTGAGCCAGGTGCGGGTGCAACACGGAGGGTTGCGATCCCGTTGCCGGTTCCAGTCCGGTACGGGCACGACACTGAGGGTTGCGATCCGTTGCCGGACACGAAAAAAGACAAAAAGGAAAAAAAAAAAATCCATGTAGGACAAGGTGGGGAAATATCTGCATTTTTTTTTTGGTGGCTGGCTGGTATAGGGATTGAATCCTAGACCTTGGTGTTATCAATAACACCCTCTAACCAACTGAGTTAACCGACCAGCCCTAATATAGTTTCGTTTCTTGTTTTTTTAAATATTTGCACTTTTGATGAGTTTGATCCCCTGTATTCTATTTATTCCACAAATATTTAGCATACCTGATGAGTATCAGATGCTGTGTTGTATACCAAAAATATAAACACCGATCAGGCAGTCCCTACCTTTAAAAAGCTTAATCTAATGCATTGCTATCAGAACCAAAAAGAGGAAATACCAGCTACAGAAGCCCATCTTGAAAGCCCTTTACCCAAATGAATCTTCCCAGTCAAGAATCCACACATTACCTTAGACCATCTGAGAGACCTTCATCTGATTTGGAAGCACATAAATTAGAAGAGGATTCCGGAGGACTGGAGGCATTGGCCACAACACCAGCTACCTCAGACGCCGCCATCATGCTCTGTACGTTCAGAAACAAATTACAAGCTACAGGTTTCAAAAGTTTAAAATAAATCTATCTTTCCCCTTCGGAATGTCCACACAACAGAGTTGTTCCAGGAAGGAAACACAAAGAAAACTTGGGCTCTAGGAGAAAATACCTAAAAGTATTCTGTAGTAGGATATTAAAAGAGCCACTACAGGCAATAGGTCTCAGTAGGCATCAAGCCTCAGGAGTCACCATATTTATGTAAATATCTAGGAGACTGTGCAAAGCCTTTATTTTCACTTTTGGCAGAAATGCAGTCATTTAAAATAGTAGGTCACAGTTTGTGAGAATTTTCCAAATGGTCCACATACCTACCTTGTCTACCATCATTTATAAAAGATATATTTTTTGAGATGGGCCCGTGGATCACTCGGGAAAGTGTGGTGCTGATAACACCTAAGGCCCCGGGTTAGGATCCCATATAGGGATGGCCAGTTCGCTCACTGGCTGAGCGTGGTGCTGACAACACCAAGTCGAGGGTTAAGATATCCCATATAGGGATGGCCAGTTCGCTCACTGGCTGAGCGTGGTGCTGACAACACCAAGTCGAGGGTTAAGATCCCCTTACCGGTCATCTTTAAAAAAATAATAATAATAAATAATAATAATAAAAGATAGATTTTTGGACCTAGTATCAATAATATCTTATGTTTTAAAATCACTTTATGTCTGTTGCATTAAAGGCAATCTCCATTAATCGAAGTGAAATTTCAAGTGAAATTTTTCTAAGTGTCTATACATATAAGAGAACAAGTAACACAATATCGGGCAATCCCAGTATATAACTTACTGTCAGTGTGTTCCCCAAACATGGGAAAAGTCTGATACCCATTGACTGAGCAAAGTACACACTTTTCAGAGGTACTACAGTGGTGCAAAAAAATACGGGAATCTTGGTTACTCTAGCATGAAAATGAGAAGCTGAAAAACATGGTAATAACAGTAAGACAACCCTGACAGATGCCTTTTTTTTTTTTTAGATCAAAAGGTCATCCTTCAGGCTGTAGGACAAACTCTTGGCCTTCTATGGTGAGAAGGAAAAAAAAATACTTAGGAGGTGGGGGAATGTAAGGTTAGTTTACATTCTTGTTTTTATTTTAACAGCACCACAGATATACCCCTGAACCCTGAACAATGTATAGGGCAGATATGAAGACCGGGCTGTGTCAACACTTTAATCACACCCCAGACACCCTCCGTGCATCAGTTTCCCTCATTACACAAAGCTTCTGGGAGAAAAATAGGCCCCAAATCTCCATTACTTCCCCCTCAGGTGCAAACACCCTGTCTCCAACAGGGCCCAGGGTCGGGGGTCCTTGATGTCGAGTAAAGAAGACCTCAGGGCAAGGGTCATACATGCAACTCGGTAGATAGAGAGCTGGGGGGGGGGGGG